TATTCGTCGTCTCGGATCGGTGATTTGATTGGGTTCGACCCGAAGGGTTCAGTTAAGATCAAGCTGTAATATCAATTGTACCTCGATATTACTGATCGGAAGCGGCCTCCACCTAGGCATTCCGATCACTTGACCTTACTGAAAAATTAGCTCTGTAATAATTCTGAACTCTTTATCAAAAGAATACACTTGTTGGAAGGACACCATTCCTTTCAAGAGAGCCATCTAGGTCATCCTCATGATTTGAACAGAGTCGTCCATCATGGCCCGGGCTGACTCCATTTTCACTTTTTCGGCCTAGGCTCTTCTCTTGCTAGACCAGGCGCTCTTTGATCGAAGACAAGGATTTCTCCAAGGTCTCGAACTGAGTCATCTTTTATTTAAGCGGCCTTAGCTCATCCTTGACGCTCTTGACCGTCGCCTCCAGTTTGTTGTTCTTCTTTTTGGCCGCCTCCAACTCAGCACGGATATTGGCAGTGGCCTGCGCCTGATAATAAAGAATGTCAGTTGTCAAAAATTCATTTTGGGCAATTTGAAACATTGCCTTATCAGCGTCAGAGGCGCCCATAGCTTTAGCAGCCCTTACCTCTTTGTTTTTGGCGTTGATCGGCCTACGAAGGCCATGTACTCTCAACATGAACTGAAAATAGGAAAAACAGGCGTCAGATTTTAGAAAAGCAGGCGGCATGACAAGTAATAAAGTTTAAAAATATTCTAAGTCTACCTCAGAAAGGAGACCCATGATGCCATCCAGGTCAAGGATGCCGACTCCCTTGACCGCGTCCCTCTCCTATTTAGGGACGGCCTTATTCATAGACTTGGCCATTTGGACCAAGTCTGGCTCTGAAGGGCCACCTGCATCAAAAAAGAGAAACATCAGAAACATGAAGAGAATGAAAGAAATAAGCAAGTCTAGCAGAGCAGGCTATACTTCTCGACGGCTGTGTCACAACAGGCGGTGGGTTCCCCACACTTTGTGGGGTGGCCGGCTGCTTGTCAGCCGATTGCTTCCTGGTAGATCTAGGCGTACTCTCACCAGTTAGCTTTCGAACCTTCGAGTCCGGTTGGTGGGAGGATGAGGGTTTGGAAGTGCCCGTCTGCAAAGGAGACGAGTGGTCAATATTCATCAAGCAGTCTTTCGAAGACGAGTTTTAAGAATCGACACTCACTGTCGGCGTCTCCTTGGCAGGAGAACCAGAAGTGGTTCGCTGCTGTTGCATTATGGAGGCTCGCAACATGGCAGCCGCCTTCTTGGAAGCAGTAATTTGGTCCATAGCCTCAACTACAAATGAGAACCACAAAAGTTAGAAAAGTATTCAAACAAGTCAAAGTGAAGGGTACATATTTTCAAGTGGCTGGTTACCTCTGGAGGATCGACTGCTAAGGCCATAGGCGGCCAGGAAAAACTCGTCATAGAGCCATTGAAACTCTGGGACGCAATTTAGGGGCACCTGTTCTCGTACCCCAGTAGTAGAGTTTGCCCTAATCTCTACTTTAAAAAGCCCTCGGTCCAGGATCTCTTCCCTGGCCTTGAGGGGAACAAGCGGCATGCTGCGTCCGACTGCAAGAAGAGGCGGATCCTTGTTCCACCTATTGTAGCGTTTGTTCAGCAGGCGCTCGGGGCTAGAAATGATGAGGAAGGTGTTTCTCCAATCCTTCCATTTATTCTCTTTGCCTTTGGTTATAAGATAGCCCTTATGACTTGTTATTTGGTACCAGCCGGTACCGCTTGCTTTAGGGGTTCGGCTGAGGTAGTTCATATGGGCGAACGCCTCAAAATTTGGCTCCACCCCATGCATCTCACATCCGGATACATAGCCAAGAATGTTGAACTAAGAGTTGGGGGCTAACTGCCAAAGCCCCACCTCGTACCCATCCAGGATTTGTTGGACGGCCGGATGCAATGGGAACCGCAATCCAGCCTTGATGGCCGCCTCGTAACAGCCAAAACAGGCGTCCTCGTAGGTGGCGCCCTCTGGCCAAACGACTGTGTCCTCGCCATCCAGCACGAATACTCGATATTTCGGACCCATCGTATGGTCCGAAAGAAAGGTGTCTATGCGCTCTCTCATGGCCTTGATTCGGCCCTTGGGTACATGGCAGTAATAAGGAGTGTTCAACTCCCTATGAGAGGCGGATGGTTTCGATTGACCTCCCCCCTTTTCAGCCGCATGAGAATCTCTCGCCTCATGCAAGCGATTATGTCTCTCTTCCGAGCTTATAGAAGGGCGGCTCGATGAGCTAGAGCAGACTCGATATCAGAAGAGTCCGACTCCTCCCCATTTCCTGAAGGGGCCGACCCCCTTCTTCATCAGGGGCCGTCTGCTGACTGGCCAAGTCAACAGTAAATTGAGAAGGAACTACCTTAGGTCCCTCCTCAGAGCTTTCGGTTAAAGGGCTGCCTTGGGTCCCTGCGGTATCAGGCTACTGGTCCGATATTTCACTAATCGGAACCCGAAAAGAGGAGCCATCAGAGTTTTCTATTCTCTTGGTCTTTTTTGTTCTTGCCATACTGTCCTGCATAGATACAAAGACAGTTGGATTCCGGGACTTGCGCAAAGTTTGAAGTACCACAGGGCAGTCGGCACTCCTAGTCCTAGATTCAGCTGTCCCCAGTGACCGACTAATCGACAACCTAGGTCGTGCCGAGTGTCTTTGAGACACCATACTTTGTAAAATAAAAGAGGAAAAAGATTCAAGGAATGGATGTTTACCTGAAGTTGAAAGTTGAAGTAGACTGGAAGTAGGCATCCGAGAAGAAAGTAAGCGGCGGGGTACGATTACTCCGTAAAATCGCCAAAAAGTTGGGGTCCGAGAGATCTCTTTCTGGAAATAATGTGAACAAATGTGAACAAATGACTTGTTGACCAGCCCTATTTATAGGGAGAGAAAGAGCAGAAGAGCATTCAAATTCAAAAACTTGGGCGGGAAAATACTCGGCCAAGCTATCCGTCAACACCTGTCGCCTCCCCACTTGGCGACGCTTTTCACAGGTCACACGTGCCAGGTCACGTGCCACCTGTGAGGCGCAAATGATTAGGGGGATTTTCCCTCCAACCACCCCTCGCCATGTGGACCAATCAGGTCCTGAAAAGTGTCACCCAGTTGAACTTATCAAGACCTGCCACGTGGCACGCTTCAGCTGGTCCACCATGGACTTCCTATGCTATGCCATGTGGCCCTTTCAGCCTTGCCTAAACAAGTAGCAGATTGGGCCCAAATCCCAAGAAAGCCCAGTCAATCCTAGGGTTGGCCAAAACCCTAAGACCTGGCACGCTTCCCAATGCTATAAATACTGTCATAAATGCTCATTTATGACAAAGACTGTTCACAAGAAACACACGGATTACACAAATCCCAAGACAATCACACACAACTCGGTACCGCCTGCTAGACCCATCCTAGCATCCGGCACCTATTTACATTCCGCATTATAACTCCTTCATTCACTAACTTGATCGTTGGAGGCGGAGCTCCCTACCCAAGGAGTCTCCGTTATCTTGCAGGTACAGGCGCGTGGTTCTAGCCTCGAAGTTGTAACTCTCCCAAGGGACACAGAAAACCCCGTTTGGATCTCAATTGCCCACTTTATCATCCATCCTGACGATTCCATGGTCGTTAGGGGCCGTTTTATTGGCTGGTCTGTGTAAACGACCACCGGATGTGCCAGGAAATAAGGCTTCAATTTCTTCACTGCCATGTACAGGGCGAGTCCAAATTTCTCCACCAGTGAGTACCTCAACTCTGCATTCTTCAAGACATGACTGACAAAGTAGACTGGGAGTTGGCAGCCGTCTCTTTCAGCTAAGAGGACGGCACTTAAAGCGTGATCTGATACTGCGAGATACATGTAAAGCACTTCTTTTGGCAAAGGACTGACGAGTCTCGGCAGGGAATGCAGATGCTCTTTCAGCTTTTGGAGGGCCGACTCAGCATCCGGTCCCCATTCAAACTTTTCTTTCTTTCTAATTGCCTGGAAAAAGTAAAGGCACTTGTCGCCTGCCCGACTGAGAAACCTTCCGAGAGCGGCGAGGCAGCCTATTAGCCTTTGTACCTCTCAGACGGTGCGAGGCAACTTCATGTCAATGAACGCCTGCACCTTGTTAGGATTTGCCTCTATTCCCCTTTGATTTATCAAGAATCCGAGAAACTTCCCAGACTCAACTCCAAAGACACACTTTTTTGGATTAAGCATGACTCGGTGCCGCCTGAGTGTGGCGAATGTTTCTCGGAGGTCTGTCAGATGGTTCGTTTGGAGTTTTGACTTTACAATCATATCATCAATATACGCCTCCACATTTCTTCCAATTTGTTCAAAAAACACAGTGTTTATCATTCTTTGGAAGGTTGTCGAGGCGTTCTTCAGACCAAACGGCATGGCCGTGTAACAATAGAGTCCCTGCTCTGTGACAAAGGCAGTTTTATCTTGATCTTTTTTCTCATAAAGGAATCTGGTGAAAGCCTAAGTAGGCGTCCATGAAGCTCAACAAGGCATGGCCGGCTTTTGAGTCGACCAAGCTGTCGATCTTTGGCAAAGGATAGCTGTCTTTCGGACATGCCTTGTTTAAATCAGTGTAGTCCACACACATGCGCCAAGAACCATTCGGCTTCTTGACTAGCACAACATTTGCAACCCATTCTGGGTAGAAACACTGCCAAATGTATCCCGCATCAAGTAACTTCTTTACCTCAGTGGCGGCAGCCTGGTTTCTTTCTTCACCATGATGCCTTTTCTTCTGTCGTACCGGTTTCTTTTTTGGGTCGACAGCTAGCTTGTGTACCGCCTGGTCTGGACTAATACCTGGCATCTCATGCACCTCAAATGCAAAAATATCTTGGAACTCTTTCAGCAGTTGGCGAAGGTCATTGCCAAGTTCAGTCAAAGCAGTCGTCCTCACCTTAACAGTTCGGTCTGGTCAACTGTCATCGAGGGCGACATATGCGTGCTCCTCAGCTGGCTGAGGGCGGAATTCATTCGGCCGCTCCTCAGCCAGTGATTGCTATTGCTTATGCTTTTTCTTGACCTCCGTCTCGGAGGCTTTTCTCTTCCTGCTGCCTGCCTCTTGGGAAGACGCTTCTTCTATGGCTTTGCCAATTGGGCCGTCTGAAGTTACCATTGTTTTTATGTCAGTGAGGTAACATTCTCTGGCCATTCTCTGGTCCCCCCTTATGGAACCGACTGTTTTGTCATCCTTCTCAAACTTGAGCAACATAAGGGATGGAATGATAACTGCTTTAGAGTCATTAAGGGTGGGGAGCCCAAGGATCATGTTGTAGGCAGTAAGTTCTTCCACAACCAGGAAACGAATGACCATGTGGCGGACCTCGCCTCTCTCACCCAGACGGACGGGCAAGTCAACTTGACCAATCGGATGGACGACTCCCCCTCCAAATCCTACGAGAGGATAGGAGACAGGCTGTATACTCTCAGGCCTGTACTTGAGCTTGGTCAAGCACTTATGGCTGATGAGGTCCGACAAACTCCCTGTATCAATAAGTATCCTGCCGACTCTTTGATTGGCCACTTTACACTCGATGACAATTGGGTCGTCATGCGGCCGTCGAACACCACCCGAATCTTTCTCAGAAATAATAACCTCAGGAAACGAGGTGCCAGAGGTCTCACCCTGATTAACAGAGTTAACATCCAGTTGTCTGATGTTATCCTTGTTTCCCCGAACAGTCGGGCCTCCCCCTGCATAGCCGCCTGTTATTGTATAGATGGAAGCTTCATCAGCGTCAGAGCTGTCGGCCGGCTTCTGTCTTTTTTTCCTGGCCGAGTGATTTTGTTTGGGGGGCTGTTTTCCTTTAGGTTTCTTGACATAAGAGTCCAGATCACCCTTTTTAGCCAACTAATCCAGAAGACGCTTGAGACTAATGCATTCGTTGGTCTCATGCCCAACATCATCATGAAAATGGCAGTGCTTGCCTTGGTTGCGCTTACTAGGATCACCCTTCATAGGTGTCGGCTTCTCAAGTGAGAGTCGGTCCTTAAATTCTTTGAAAATGGTATGATTATCTTTGTTGAAATCATACTTGGGGGAGTATGGAGTGAATTCCTTTCTCTTCTTACTGGACGGCTGACTAGTGGAGTCGGCCATCCAAACATCTTTTCTCTTTTTCTCTTCCTTGGGGGCCGCTTTCTGTGAACGATCCTCCTTTTTCTCAGACCTTTTTTGGTCCCCTTGCTTTCCCATATGACAGAGGTCGACTGCCTGTATGTAGGTCTCGGCCTCCATCATTGCCTCTTGGAGAGTAGCGACTCTTTTTCTAACTAAATCAAATTTGAAGTTCGACCTGTCTTTCAATCCCTTGAAAAAATCAGTATAGGCCACTTCATCCGGCAGGTTGGGCATTTGTATCCTCATCAGATTGAATCTCTTTATGTAGGAGCGTAATCCCTCCTTTTCTCCCTGCTGGATGGCTTCTAGATCAAGAGTCGTCTTCCTGGCAGGTATATTCATGGAAAAGTTTGATGCAAACAAATAAGCCAATGTTCTGAAGTTGTTGACACAGCCGGCCGGCAGGTTGCCGAACCACTGTTGGGCGACTCCCTTCAGAGTGGCAGGAAAACACCTACACCATGTGGCATCGTCCAATCCTTGAAGGTACATTAGATTGGTGAATGCCATCAGGTGATCCTCTAGGTTAGTGGTGCCATCATAGGCGCCTATTAACACATTTTTCACTTTAGTCGGCTGGGCGACTTGTAAAATTTCCTTGGAGAAGGCGGTTGACTGTTCCCAAGTTGAAGAAATTGTAACTGCCAGTCCAAAGGCTGGAGATTCTTAGCCGTCTGACCCCCAAAAGGAGGAGGTGGCAAAAATTAGTGAGTTTGCGGCACATATGGCGGCTGAGTGACATATGGTGCCGACTGTTGTTGATGAGAGCTAGAACCGGAGTGTGCACTGCCTGTCCGGATCTCATAGTTTGACCTTGAATGATTAATAGAAGTGTTTTGGATACTGTCAAGAAAATCAGAAGTGGAGGCCGACTTAGACTGCTGTTGGCTCCTTTTCTGCTGAATCAGCAGTCGGGCGTCTGAGTAGGATTTCTTTGAGTCGTCTAGTTGAACCAGGCGGATTGGTTTCCTTCCCAATGAGGCAGGGATACGGTGCTTGGACAAATTGACTAGAGGTACCCGCCTCTCCTCTTGGCGAGGGTGGGGGGTTGCCTCACGGTCCTTCAATGACTTCTTCTTTCCTGAATAGGAAGGCTTTTTGCTCGACTGCCCTTTTTGGGTAACAACCGTCTTTTTGTTGATGAGATCTTTATTCTCACCCTTGAAACTTCTCATGATGGTCATAAGATCATTCCTTGAAAACAGGAGCTGTCCAGTCGACCGCTTGATGAGAGTCGGCCGAAGGTCTGACTGTTTGGCCTGGACCAGCCTGGTCTTGCCATTCCTGCCTTTCACGAGGGGTAGTGCGTCGAGCCCTCAAGGACCCGTCTGGGGCCGTGCGAGTCTCAACTTCAGGCTCAGTGTCCTGATCAGAAGAAACATGAGGCTCGTCTTCTTGGTAGTCGTCCTTGGGACGCTTGTCACTATTAGTCGGTACAGATTGTGATTTCATCTCAAAGGTACTCTCCCCACATACGGCGCCAAAATGTTTTGGGGTTTTCTGTGTCCCTTGGGAGAGTTACAACTTTGAGGCTGGAACCACGCGCCTGTACCTGTAAGATAATGGAGACTCCTTGGTCAGGGAGCTCCGCCTCCAACGATCAAGTTAGTGAACGAAGGAGTTGTAATGCGGAATGTAAATAGGTGCCGGATGCTAGGACGGGTCTAGTAGGCGGTACCGAGTGGTGTGTGATTGTCTTGGGATTTGTGCAATCCGTGTGTTTCTTGTGAACAGTCTCTGTCATAAATGAGCATTTATGACAGTATTTATAGCATTGGGAAGCGTGCCAGGTTCTAGGGATTTTGGCCAACCCTAGGACTGACTGGGCTTTCTTGGGATTTGGGCTCAATCTGCTACCTGTTTAGGCAAGGCTGAAGGGCCACATGGCATAGCATAGGAAGTCCATGGTGGACCAGCTGAAGTGTGCCACGTGGCAGGTCCTGATAAGTCCAACTGGGTGACACTTGTCAGGACCTGATTAGTCCACATGGCGAGGGGTGATAGGAGGGAAAATACCCCTAATCACTATCTATTTTAGTTAGTGGTTTTAGGAATTACTTTTGATTAGGTGATACGACTTTATCCAGTCAACCGCCACCGTGACAACGGCTAAGGCAATTATCAAAGACACACAACAGAAGACTCTCTTTAAAACCATTCAAAATAAGTCGACTTCAAAAGTAAAACAAAGTCAATCTACAACTCGGAACCAACATAGGCCCTACAAAAACCGAAAATAAAACTCAAACCTTTGCGTTAGTCTCACAAACATAATATATAATATTCAAAGCAATAAACCACTTCATATTCTTATGAAAACTAAACATCATCCGCTCTTCACTCATGCTCATCATGAATATGCTTCATCCCCTGAAAAGCTCCTCTGTACTTTGTCCCCACTACTCGCCATTAGAAATGGGTCGTCGTAGGGCCAAGATAAAGACAAGGCCAAACAAACATACAACACACAATCAGCAATGCTGAGTACATAAGCGTGAACAGTACACACTAACATGATTTAGTCCTATCAACACACAACTTACCTTGTTGCACCTGTTTTCAAGCATATACAACACAACCAACCAATAAATAGACCACTAAATTGCTTATTTAATTTGATTACGCATCGAACAGGTTTCCCACCAAAATCCCTGCCCCAAATAAATTGAGATAAACTACGCCAGGAGCTAATCGGGTAGGCAAATGCCACATGAAGTGACTGGACGTCATGCGCATAATAAATAATAAAAAGGAAAATATAGCGTCTTGTACTCCCAGTAGAAGTCATGGTTAAATATAAAACCCCATAACTCCCCCCATATGTTCATACTCAAGGTATATACGTTCCAAGAGTTTTGGTGCATAATCTCTTTTACTTTACGTTGTTTACATATTTTAGACTTGGTGAAGACTCTTAAACCATAACACCATCAGTCATTATAAATCATTCAAGCAATCAAACATACCAATTTAATTCTTGAATAATTAGTGACCACATAATTTAATGTTGAATCCTTTTTAAAATACCTCGGTGTTAAATAACACCTTAAGTGCATAAAGCACCGCAAATCCTATCCCTCGGTGTTTAGAACATCTTAAGTGCACAAAGGCACCGCAATGTAATTTATCCCTGTGTACTAAGACACTTAATAGCTCAATTCCTATGCTTAAAGCATCAATAAAAAAATTATATGAACCACAATAAAATTCCCTTTTTAACATTCCAAACCAAATTAAACATTTAGTTTAATTAAATAAGCTCTTAATCATGCCAATAATAAAAGTGTAGGTTATATTCAACATGCCAATATAATTAATTCCAACCATTAATCCATCATAAATAATTCACACATCATAAATCAATCACCAATTCCAATTCACACCTAACATGATACTACCATGGAATTAATTATACAAAGCCTAGCATGCTTCTATACACTTAAATAATTACCAAGTATGCGAATGTACCTTAAATATGATCTCAAATTTGCCACGACTACACAAAATCACTCACTTAGAATTCTCCTACAACCCAAAATTACAGAGAGACATTAATACCCATTGAATATAAATATCCAGCAATATATACACTCTTTAAATCACTCATAAACCCTCTAAAACAAGCTGAAAATTAATTTAAAACCCTTACTTTTATTCCCAATATTTGGGTAATTAAAAATCCTTTCTAGAACATAACTATAGCCTTTATATAAAAATTCCAGCTTTATAAAAACATGTAAAATTGTTGTAATTATGTTTAAAAACATCTAATTTATTAGTTTCAATCACCTATGTTTCGGGGGTTTCGGGAGTCCCTCGGGAGAGTTACAATTCCAAGAATGGATGCCGACCGTCTGTACCTGCAAAACCACGAAAACTCCGGTTGGGTGGAGTTCCGCCTCCGACGATCAAGTTAGAACATGATCGGATGTAAAATGTGCGAAATGTAAAGAGTTTCTCTCGGATTCCAAGAGAGAATCTACAATTAATATTGCTCTTGTTTTTGTGTGTATTTTCAGAATAATGCAATAAATGGGGATCTCTCCCTATTCATAGGGTTTGACGATCAGCTCTCCTTTCATGACATGGATTGCCACGTGTCGTCAGAGGATTGGTTCTCTCAGAACCTCTCTGAGGCTGACACATGTCAGCATGCTATTAGTCCATGTGGACCGGGGTATATTTACCCTAAACATTTGCCTCTCACAGGTGTGACGTTTCCTGCCACGTGACACTTGTGACAGGTGTCATCTTCCAAGAGAGAATCTACAATTAATATTGCTCTTGTTTTTTTGTTCTTTTTTTGAAGGTGACGGTTCGCTTTCTGAGGGATTTCCTCTATAAGTAGAGGTCCCCCCCCCCCCTCATTTTCCTCACTTTGCCATTTTTGAGAAATTTTCTAAGAGAGGATAGCTCTGATACCAGATGTTATTTCTTGCACAACCGTCTTTCTTTTCTTCACTCAACCGACTACCGTCTAACTACCGTCTAAGTGCTCATCACTCAAAACATATTAGAACCGCCTGGGGGTCCTTTGACTGATTCCCTTTGCTTTCAATACACCCACGGCCAGTCAACCGTCTGGGGTATCATCAAGCAAAACTTCAAAGGAACGTCTAGGCTTTTCAACAATTTTCAATTGCTCTCCAAGTGGGTACATCCGGGAAACCGTCTAGGTATCTAGCAAGCAACAAACAGATTTTCGCCTGCTGATCCAACTGGTCAACCTCTTCCACACTCAGAAAATCCTCAAGGTATCGTCTCTACCCGTTGCAACTTTTTGCGCTTTTCCGGTTGTATACCTTGTAAAGAATAATGGACTCACCCAACACACACACGGCACGACCAAGGGCAATTGTCAGCCGGTCACCGGATACGGCTGAGTCTAGGACTGGGGATGCCGTCTGAGGGTGTTTGGACCTCCCTTTCTATCCCACAAATCCAACCATCTTTGTGCATGTGCAGGACAGGATGGCTTGGATGAGATGGATGGCTGTAGACCCCGACTATCGATCAGACGGCTCAGAAAAAGTTCCGGCTGACATAGTATATCATGACTATCCAGGTGCACCCAGCACACCCAGTGATTTATTTTAGAAGAGTCTGAGGAGGTAGGCAGCGATGAGACCGTCAAACAATCAGACTCTGAGGAGTCATCTTCGTTAGAACGTGATGCCCTCCAAGGGGATGAGGAAGCATACAAATGGCCATCCATCAATAATCCTACTGAGGCGCACATGTCCGCAAGGGACGTTGTTACTCTGAATGCCACCTTCCCTGCCTATATTAAGAAGTGCCCGGTTGGGGATGGATGGGAGGTTGTACTACCACCTGAAGGTATT